TAGCGGGAGCTTGGTAGAGAAGAGGTGGCATTTGGTCTGGATCTGGAGAGCAGTGTAGGATTTGGACATGCTGGGAAAAGGAATTCCAGACATGAAGGCACAGTGGGGGAAAGGCCCAGGGATGTTCAAGGAGGAGTTGAGCCTGTTGGAGAGGGAAGGAGGGTGATCGTGGGAGACAGAAGAGGAAAGAAAGGCTGCCGTGGGCCTGGGGAAGGCTTTGACCTTCTTGTACAGGCCTCCTAACTGCAGAGCCCAGGGCCAGAGCAGCCACAGGTCTGAGAAGAGGGCCCAGAGAATTTCAAGGACATCGTTTCCACTCTTTGGGGCTGTTCGTATGGATAATAATAAATAATAAATAAGTAATTATACAATAATGAACTCTGTTTCATGTACTCACAGCTGTAAACCTACTTTTGCCCCACTCTATATGTTTAATTTATTCCATGAGCCTCAGTGAGCACTACTCTGTGACAGCCTCCCAATCATGTGGTGAGCAAGACAGGCCCTGCCCCCATAGATAGTCCAGTGGTACAGACAGACAATTACACATTTTCTTAAAGGCAGCCTTCCTCATTGTGTAAGCTTCAGGCCCCATGGAACTTGGATGTGCCTGGAGCTATGAGATTGAGCAGCGATTTCCAGCTGGTCTGCAGGCAAGAATTTTTAAGACATGCAATACCTGACTATTTAGTCAGGGGCACTGACCCCTTTTCCCTTACATTGTCTAATAAAATAAATGACAACAGCCAACACAACAAGAGCTGTCTGGTGTGAAAAAATCAAAACTATACCTATGTGTGTGTGTGTGTGTGTGTGTGTGTGTGTGTGTGTGTGTTTATCAGATCAGCAAAAGATGCAAGGTTTTTTGGCATGTCGCAGACTTTCAGTAATTAGTTTATGTGTGCCATGACATGAAAAGTTTGGAAATCACAGAGATGGAGGGTAAGGAGATAGGGAGGAAGCATGCTGACATGGACACTCCACCATGAATCTCACCTGTGTGCGTCTCAGTACAGCCGGTTGCACCTGTTCCCCACAAACTCTGACCTTGTCACCTGGTGCTCCACATTCCTGAAGCACAGGGATTCTCCCTCTTCCTCGAGTGGCTGAACGGCAGTCACACTGCCCCTCTCTCGGCTTCTCCAAATTCTTTCCCGGCTCAAGGCCTCTCACATGCCATTGCTGGAAGCTGTCCCCTCAGCTTCTCATATCGCAGGCTCCTTCTAATGTTTTCTGGTCGCAGATGAAATGTTACCTCTGTCACGACTGGAAGTGCCCTGCAGCCTTGCTGATACCTGGAATTGTCAGGCTGTAATTTTTGCAAATCTGGTGTGAATCAGCATCTCATTTTTCAAGGCACATTTCTTTTGTATCGGTGACTATTTTGGCTTCCGGTTCCATAAGTGACTCTTCATATCCTTCATGTCATGTCTCTCTTTGGTTGTTTGTATTTTCTTAGTGATTTGTAGGAGTTCCTTATAATTCTGGATACGGAACAGTTGTTTTTTTGTGTGTTATATTTTCCCTTAAAATGTGGCTTGTCTTTTACCTTTCTTTGTGGTGTGTTTTGCTGAACACACATTTTTTTATTTTAACATAGACACGTTCATAATCTTCTCTTTTATGGTCAGTGTTGTGTGTGTGTGTGTGTGTGTGTGTGTGTGTGTGTGTATCTTATTTAAAACATCATCTCCTTCTGTAAGGTTTTAAAAAGATATCCCCCTGTATTTTCTTTTAAACTTTGGATGCTTTGCTGTCACATTCACAGGACTTGAATTTACAAGGGATTAATTTTGTTATTGTGGAAGATAAGGGCCCAGTTATTTTTCCCTCATATAGATAACCAACTACATCAACACGATTCACCAGAGAGGCCATTCTCTCTTCCCGGGTATGTAAGGCTGGTGATGTAGGGTGGGGCAGGGTATTTAGACAGAAGGATAGGAAAGCCCACTCTGAGGAGGGGACATTTGAGCAGAGAGCTGAATGACACGAGGGTTGCTCATCTGGGGGATGCTTCCACTAGGCAGAGGGAGAAAGAAGTGCAAATGCCCGAGGTGGAGTGGCTCAGTGTCGGAGGAGCAGCCGGAGGTCAGTGCAGGGGGCTGGGCGAGGAGGCTGGGACGCGAGGCAGCACTGGCCATTGGCGTGTGTGCATCGCAGCAATGCAGACTCCTAACTTTTTCAGGTCTAATTTTACAGGCCAGATTATTAAGAAACTTGCAGGACATAGTAAGTAAGGCCTTTGAACTTTGTTCTAAATGTGATTGCAGCCATTGGAGGGCTTTGAGCGGGAATGACACAAGCAGATTCATGTTCTACAGTGACCCCGCTGGCTGCTGCATGGAGACTGAACTGTAAGGGGCTAGAGGTCAGCTAGAAGGAGAGAGGTTATGGCATTTGGATCATGGTGGTAGGCACAGGGAGGGAAGTTGTCAGATTCAGAGTACATTTCAAAGGCTGAGTCACAAGAATTTGCTGATGGATTGGATGTGAAAGAAAGAGAGAAATAAACTAAGTTTTCCTCACCATTCCCTTCATTCTCTATTTCTGAAACTCCAACTGGGTGTTTATCAGATCTCTTAATCCATCTGCCATTTCTTTTTTTTTTTTTAAATCTTCACCTGAGGATATGTTTCCATTAATTTTTTAGAGAGAGAGGAAGGGGGGGGTGAGAAAGAGAGAGAGGAACATTGATGTGGGAAAGAAACCTTGATTAGTTGCCTCTGGTATACACCCTGAGGCCCTGACCAGGGATCAAAATCTCAACCTAGGTATGCGGCCTGACTGGGAATCAAACCCCACCTGGGCCAGGGCTCCATGTGCCACCTTAAGTAATCTTTCATAGCTGTGATCTCTTCGTGCCCTGGCTGCATTCTTTCTAATTCCCTCTCTGCCTGTGACCAGGGTAGAGACTTTTGTGAGTATTGAGTTTTTAAATTTAATGACTATATTTCCAAGATTAAAAAATTTTCTCATGTCTACCTGTTGTTTTGTTTCTTTTGAAAATGTTATTGAGAGGTCACTGTTGACCTCTCTAGGACTGATCCTCTATGGGTGGTCCTCCCAGTAAAGGAGTGGGCTTCCTGCAGGGACCCACAGGAGCTGTGCCCATCAGGCCTGGATGGGGCCGGTGCTGCCCCAGCCACGGGTCCCTGCCGCTAGGTTGCTAGGTCATATACTTGCAACCACCCAGCTTGGACCCCAGCCTTGTTCACACCCAGGAGTACTGGTGTACCTCCCACGAAGGACATGGATGCCAGGTTCTGCCACATCCTTCGGCCGTGACACACATCGCAGCCTCTGGTTGTCCCAGGAAGAAGCTGGTGTATACCTAGTCAATAGCTTCAAGGCCCCTCGGTCTGAGAGTCACTGTCCCTCTGATGTCTGATGTCCGGCTGCTGCACCTCTGGGTGCTGCCCTAGGAGAAAAGGGTCCTGGGGGCCTTCACATGCCCTCTTGTTCCTCTCTGTGAGCTCCCGGTGGGTGCTGATCTTTGGGCCTCTGCATGTGCTGCTTGGCCATTGCCCTAGTTTGCACGGCAGACGTTATGCCTTCATTTCTCTCTGGAACACCCTCACTGTACTTCTGTATATCTATTATGCTGCTTCCTAGAATTAATGTCATCTGGATTGCTTCATGTTCAGATTGCGAATGTTTTTGTCTGTTATGCTTTGCCCTTGGTTTCTTCATGTGTTTTGTAATTTTAAATATGCAGGTTCATTTTGAATGGGATGATTTTGGATTTTTTTTTTCTTCCCGTATGTCCAACTCCACCTGCCTAGGATTGCTCCTCTTGGCCCCCTGAACCCTCTGCTTGGAAATAGTCCTTATGCTGTTGGCTGGTGGCTGGTGATTGGAGATAATCTATCTCTTGGTTTCCCCTTTTTATATTTTTCCTGCCGTTGCAGTGTGTTTGGAGCAGCGGGGTACAACAAAACCAGACCCATTGTGCTATCCTGACCTAACAGATAGTCTTTTAATCCAGAGTGGGCACTTAACTCTCAAGCTGTGGCTCTGAAAACTTCATTGATAAGGCTTCTTCCAGAGCAACTACGCCCTCTGGTGGCAGGTAGGGATATGGCTAGCAAAGAGCTACCCAGAGGGCCAGGGGCATGACCACTTGTCTCCTTCTGTGGACTCGGAGCTGGAAGCAATCTGAGACCATGAGACCAACCTCCCACACAGTATGGCGTCTCATTTCCAACACACCCAGGAGATGGTCAAGGTCAGTTCCCTGTCCAGCAACCCACTCCATGTCTGGACAGCTGTTTTTAAGGGGCCTTTCTTGTATTGAGCAATTAAGTTTCTCCCTGTAGCTCTCACCCACGGGTCCCCTCCCTGTTTCTCTCAGCTGTCTGAGGGCAGCATTAGACTTCTCTTCTCCTGGCTCCCTCCTTCCGCCTCCCCATCCAGTCGGCTGCTTTGTTCTGCATGAACTCTAGTATATCACGAGAACTTTGTAAACATGGCCTTATTTTGACCAGGGTGGAGAAAGACTCCATTTGGTTCCTGAGAGGGTGCTGCCTCCTCAGGTCTCTAAGCGGAAGAAGAGGAACAGGTCCCTTCACATCTTCTGGTCTCAGCTTAAGAAGTCTCCCTGGTAGGTTACCAGGTGCAGCATGTTTCACACGGAAGCATCTCCCTCTAGTGGCAACCAGGGTGTTTTTCAAGATGTTTTTCTCCCTTCCCGAGCTCTTTGCTCCAGAATTTCATTACAGCTCAAGAAGGTCACCCCAATAAATTAAGAAAGAAAAAAAGAAAAAAGAAGATCCACTGAGAAGTAGGTGGGAGAGCTGTAAATTGCAAAGCTCCCCATCTGGCTTTCTGATTAAAATGAATTGGTTTTGCAGTGGTGACTGGTGAGAGAGCGAGAGCAAGAGTGCGAGTGAGCGAGCTTGGCTTCAATTTCCATGTTTCTCATAAGTTTTCCAAGCTAAAATGTGCAAATGGTTATACACATGTCAATTCGTCTTGTTCCCAGAAACGCCAGGATAGTTGTTCTTTTAGGTGGTTCCCTTATTAATTGGCTCCTTTTATTATTTTCTCTGTCCGTCTCTACTTGCTCACCGTTTGAGTGGAGTTCTTTTAGTTGCAGTAGACAGACTTTTTCAGACCAGTGGAGGGAAGTTAGGAGGAAGTGGCACAACCGGGAGAAAGAATGCCCACAGAGGTCACACTGGAGCAGGAGCCCAGATCTTGTCTGGTTGTCCCCACAAGGTACCTGCCTTCTCTCTGCAGGTCCCCATTCTCTGCTTGCTGCTGACCAGCTCCCTCACCTGGAATTCCCACTTGCCTTTTCTCTCCATCACAGCTTCTGCTGATTCATAATTTAGATTTATCCTTAGCTCATGGTGGTCCCTCTGGCACCTCTCGACTCTCTTCACCTTAAGACATATCAGCGTTGGCGCCTGCCACCAACTGCCTTATTTGTTGTGAGTGGCATTTCCCAGTTCTGTTTCCTGAGACAGAAATCGACCACCACCCCCACCTCCTCTTTAAAAAAATGTTAGGCCACATCAACAGTCTCTGGCCAGCCAGTGAATTGGCCCTTTGGGGTCTGCTTCCTGTGGCAATCATCTGGGCAGGGGAGAGAGCGCAGGCCCAGGGCAGGCAGCTCCCTTCGGAAGGGCAGCGGAGTGTGGCTCACCATAGGGCTGTCCCACTGGAAGCTCCTGGGTAGCGGCTGTGAGTGGAGCCCTGCGGGGAGCTGGGTGCTTTGGTCTGCAATGCAGGGGGCTGGCAGCTCCCACAGAATGGAAGCTTCAGGACATCTCTTGGTGGGATCAATCCTCTCCATCTGTCCTGCTCGTTCCCATTCCCATTGTGTGGCCAGTGCTGAGGGCGGGGGTGGGGGACACAGAGAATGGCGTGTGTGTCCCTGGGGTGGCACCAGTAGGAATCACCTTGTGGGCTGGTTGACTGGTTGCTGATGGGGGACTATGTCACCTTAGGCCAGGGGAGATCGGGGGTGGGGGTGGCACCCCGCTGCTGGTTGATAGAACAAATTTGATCAAATTTAGAAAAAGGTACCATTTTCTCAAGACACTTCATTGGCATTTTCCAGAAAACTGACATAACAACCGGACAGACCTGTGATGCCTCAGAGGGAGAGGAGCTCTTGGGAGTGGTGCAGCGCAGAGCTTGCTGCCTCAGCTGCCTCTCAGCCTGCCAGCTCGAGAGGTGTCCTTGCAAGGACCGCATGTGGCCGTGGAATGGTGGCTCTCCCACTCAGGGGACATAAATGCGTGGGTTTGGGAATATGGAGAACTTTTGGGGGGAGAGCGGACGAAGATGAGCATTTGTTGAGAACTTCTCACATGCAAGGTGCTATGTATACTGTTTGACATACAGTATTCGCAATTTTGCATCAAATCTGGGTTGTGACTATCATTACTCCCATGTTACACCGAAGGACACGGGCTCAGAGGCGCAGCCAGGGCTGCTGCAAGTGGGACGTGTGCGTGGCTCCAAGAGGTGCTCTTTGCTTTGTGGTTACAGTGCCAGAGGTGGGGCCAGTAAGTCCCTTGCCCAAGCCACACAGCAAGAGAAGGCAGAGCTGGGATTGGAGGCCATGCTCTTTCTGCTGCACCAGTCTTTGAAGACCCCACAGCAGTAAAAAGCAACTGAACTAGTTTCCCCCTCTCCTTGGAGAAAGTCCCATTCGTGTATTCTGAAACCAAATGCAGGAAACATGGAGTTTTATCCAAAATGACAGCGACCTCTCAGAAGGAAAAGTGAGAATCTGCTACGTGTGACACCCACTGCTGTCCCAGGTGTCGGGCTTTTATCAATGAGACACAGAGTCCACTGAAGTCCGGGCTGGACTGTGACCCGAACCAGGTGGCTTTGGTTGGGATGACGTCAATCTGAAGACTGAGTTCAACGCTCAGTTAGAGATGTCCTACCCACAGAAGTTTGGTTTCAGGTCTGGCATGGGACTGAGCATCTCAATTTTTAAAAGCTCCCTGGTGATGCTGATGACAGCCAGGGCCGAGAAGCCCTCAGCAGTCAGCCCTTCCTCCTGGGGGGGAGGGGGAGCCCGGAGGAGGCAGGTGGCTCGCTCCGCACCCAGCTGGTTAGCGTGGCTACTGAGAGTGAGATTCCCATTGGATCCTCTGTTGTGCCGCAGAGGGGCGGGAAAAGGTGAAGCAGGGAAAGGAGAAAGAGGTGGATAACTGTTGGAAGAGAGAGAGATGTCATGTGTGTCTCTTAGGATAGGTGGTGGGGGCAGTGGGGAGGCAGCTGATTGTTCCCTGGGCCTGCTCAGCACGCGCTTACCCACCACGTCATAGTGAGCTGATCCCTGGAGGATATCACTGTTTGAGCAGAAACCAGATATGACTCAGGCCAGGAAATTGCCTGCTCCTGTTACTAGTGAGGGTGAAAGGTAAAGCTGTTGAAGAAAAATACCTAAGAATACAGCAGCTTAAAGAACCTCATGGCAGGCGAGGCCCGGAAGGAGGTTTGTTTCTCTCATTCAGCAGTGTGGTGAGTAGCTGAGCTCATTTGTCCACAAGGGCAAGCAGGGTCCCAGCACTGCGGCGGCATCAAACCGCCGACTAAGCTGGGGCCCGGAAAGAACATGCGGGCACTTAGGTATAGAGGCCACTTCTGCTCATTTCCCAGCGATGAAAACGGAGTCCTCTGGAAGCAAGGGGCACTGAGGAATGAGGCCCTTCCTGGCAGCCAGTGCCCAGCCACAGCTGTTCCTCTCGAAGGAGAAGACAGATTTTGGAAGCCCTCAAAGGAACTTACTCCTGGTGCCTCTCCACCCATTCTTCCAGTCAAGAAGCATTTTGAGCACCTCCTGGAGTTGGCCAGGCCTGGGAGTGGGCACAGAGCAGGGTGCTTTAAGGCAGGGAACACTCCCCAGAGGCTGTTTGGACTGAGTTGTGAAGATGAATAGGCTTGCGAAGAAGGGTACGCCAGGCAGGAGACAGTTAGCTGTGCAAAGGTTGGGAGGTGTATGGAACGAGGGAAGGACTGAATGTGACAAAGTGCCTGGTGGTGGCCAGAGAGAACGGCGGGGCCAGACCATGCGGACTCTCTCATGAAGCTAGAACATCTACACATGAAAGGAAACTTTGGGGGGATCCGACCCTGAAATTTTAACCTTCATTGAAAAGAAAGTTACATCTCCTAGGACAATGGAAACGAAGGAGAAAGTAAACAAATGGGACTACATCAAAATAAAAAGCTTCTGCACAGCAACAAAACAAAACAAAAACAAACCAACAACAACAAAAAAACTATCAACAAAACAACTAGAGACCCCACTACATGGGAGAACACATTTGCCAATGACACATCCAATAAGGGGTTAATCTCCAAAATATATAAGGAACTCATACAACTTATCAAAAGGGAGACAAACAGTTCAATCAAAAAATGGACAAAGGGCCTAAATAGACACTTCTCCAAAGAGGACATACAGAAGGCCAAGAGACATATGAAAAAATGCTCAAAGTCACTGATCATCTGAGAGATGCAAATCAAAACGACAATGAGGTACCATCTCACACCTGTCAGAATGACTACCATCAACAAATCAACCAACGACAAGTGCTGGCGAGGTTGTCGAGAAGAGGGAACCCTCGTGCACTGCTGGTGGGAATGCAGACTGGGGCAGCCACTGTGGGAAACAGTATGGAATCTCCTCAAGAAATTAAATCTGGAACTTTGCCATGGAGAGCGCCTCCTTTGTTCCTACGTGCTGCTGCTTCCTCATGTCAGTAATTTTTGAGGAAGGCGAGTTGCTGTCGGGAGGCTGGGGTGGCTTCTGCATGTGGAGGTGCTCTCACAGCCAGGAGGGAGCAACCCCAGGAGGATGCAGAGCTCAGGGATTCCCAGGCCCCAGGGCAGAGAGAGTGAAGCTGAGTCTGAACAGTCTCGAGGCAGGCTCAGAGCCATAAGAAGCGACAGTAGCCTCTGGGCAAGTCTTTCCCAGGGCCGTTCTCTTGCGGGTTGTGATTCTAGCAGGCCACCTGACCAGGGCAGGGCCCTCAGGTTGCACATTGGGCTAGATGACCTCCAAGGTCTTTTCCAAGATCCTCTGGATGCTGACAGCACAGAGACTAGAATTATGGTGACTGTGTCTTCCCAACCAAATGTTAGGACACATGGCCTGGCAATTCAGGAACTCATTCATCACAAAGATTTAGTAAATTCCTACTATGTGTCAGGCATGGTGCTGAAGGGACAACAGTGAAATAAGTCATGGCTCCCACCTCAAAGCAGCTCCCAGTCTGGCTGGGGAGACACCCACACATATAATTATCATGCAGTGTGTGGTGAGAAGCAGAATCCTGTTGTATGTGCACAGAGGAGACGTACCCAGCCCCGACTCTGGGGCTAGCGGGGAGGAACCAAGGGAATTGAGGCTTAGAGAATGAGCAGGAGTTCGCTGGGCCAGGCAAAGGGAGTGCAAAGATGGGGCGAGGACAGGCGGATGGTTTTCCTGCCTGACCCACCAGGTTAAGGTAAGGCCTAAAGGCAAGCCATATGAAGAGGGGACAATGACAAAGCACAGGTCCCTTGACTTCACGGGCCCTCTCCTTCATATGAGGGTCTCAAACTCAGTGTCCAGCCACCCAAAGTCTGACCTGTGTGACCCCTTCAGAGTTCCTCTCGGGGGTCATGGCAACCTAAAACTCCCTGGGCCTGCAGGTGGGAACCCCTGCTTCATTGGAGGACTGTAGGGCAGCCTGTGTGTGCGACCCTATCCGTCAGGGCAATTAGCAGGGACTTGGCAGTGAGAGGTGTCATTAAGTTTACAGCGGGCACAGGCCAGGCCAGGCCAGAAGACGTCTTCAGGAGGCCCCTCTGTGCCTGGCTGGAGGCGTCCGGGAAGCAGGGCCTTCCCAGGGAGGACACCGCTGCTGGTTCTGCTGGAGGTGGGCCGTGGGGCCTCCAGAAAGTGAATTCCAACCTGGCCATTTCCTCTTCTAAGCCTGGGAATCAGCCCGCAGGCTCTGTTTCCTGGCTGTTGCGGCCCAGCCTTCTGAGCAGACAATGACAGTCCGTGGAAGGCACAGAGGTTTTCCGAAAAGCAGCCGTGGGGTCAGCCGGACCGGAATTTGAACCTTAGCCCTGCCATCTCCAGGTGTGCAGTCCTGAATGCTTAGCTTCTCTGAATCTCGATTTCCTCACCCATGAAATGAGGTTAATCATATCTATTTTTAAACAGCTGTTGAGAGAAGCAAAGGGACTAACATGTAAAGCTCATTCTTCATACCTTTAGTTCTCTGGTAGCGGCTGCATTCATCCATCCATCAACAGTTATCGATTGCTACTTCTTGCTAAGCATTGTTCTCAACCTCTGTGCTGAGGGGTCCCGGGCCTGCAGTGAATTCACAGGGCGCCACGGGACGTATTAAATGTTTAAGCCACTCTTGACACCTGTCCGACTCTAAGCAGACTATAACTCGCTGGGGCTAGTCCGCATTTTCACCATTAGATTGCCTGCCATGCTTTCTGATGACATCATATGCGTGGAAAGCTGGCTTTGTGCGGTCGCTGTGATAAACATCAGGTACTTGGGAAAATCAATACACAATGGGAAATGAGGGTGGTGGTGTCTCCTCTGAGTCCCAGGTTTGAGATGCTGTGCAGTGTCCAACCAGCACACACGTCCCATTAGTAAGTGTGTGGTTATTTAAGAATAAATTAGAAATATCCCCCCCCCCCATTTATATGTATTATTTTTTTCTAATAGTCACTCAGTTATTAGGACCTAAATGCTTGTTACATTACTTGGGCTTTAATGAACAGAACCTGTAGGTATTTCTTTTGGCCCAGGAGGCTGTGACAAGAATTCCGGAGCCCTTAAGGCACTGTGGGAGGAGCAGGCTGGGAACCCTCCGTGGGCTGGGGATGAGCTCCGAGTGAAATCATTCCCAGTGAAATCTTTCATTTCCAAGCGCTGGGCCCACTCTGGGTGTCTGTCTTTTCACAGACTCAGGAGCATCTGTGTGCGCGCGAGGGTAACACTGGGGATCCTGCAGATTTTCCAACTGGTGGTCCCGCCTGCCTGACCTGAGCGTCACCGGGTGAACTTTGCAAATCAGCTTCCTGTCTCGCCCTGGAGATTTTAATTCAGTGGGTCTGACAAAGGAACCTGAGTTTAAAAACCTCTGCTCTAACTCTCATTCCTTTAGGCGGCCAGGATGGCCCAGATTTGGGGGGCCCGGTTAACCCGGGTATAGCGGGGGGCGGGACAGGCTGTGGTCGGGGAACTGTGCGTTTCGGGATCTCCAAGTGGGTCAGGGGCGTGGGCACCTGCCGCCGCATTCGTGCCCACGTCCATTCGGGGTGCGCAGCGGGAGTGGCCCGGAAGGAAGCCCCGGCGCGGGGAGGGTCACCCGCACCCCCTG